TTTGAGTCGTGAAAAAATTATTCATTAAATTATTTCATGTTTAATTTGTTGATGCATCGTAAACTTGACCTAGTTAATTTTTAAAGAAACGATCTATGCTTCATGTTTCCATTCAATGCAAAAGGAAATGAGAAAAAGCATTTTATTGTATTAGTTGAATAATGTTGGCTTAGTTCGCTTTTAAACAATTCAAAGGATTAAAATCTTATAGATTCTTTTCAGCACGGATTCCCGCATTTTATTCTTTTATAAATGAGAAAATACGTACACATATCTTTAGTATAATTTCAAGTTGTTATTCATCGTAGACTGATATATATATATATATATATATATATATATATATATATATATCGTGAGCTAACAGAAGTTGGAAATATGGAGCATTGGATTCTGACTTAGTGGCTCAATGGTAACGCGCTGGCCGCGGAACCTGGTGGTCGCGGGTTCGATCCCTGCTGGTGGGGTCGTGGTTGTGCACTGCTGACGAGTCCCATACTAGGACGAAACAGCTGTCCAGTGCTCCCAGGTTTCCTTTGTTGCTCCAACTGATGTCGGTCTACGATGAATAACAACTTGAAATAATTCCAAATCTCCACAACTCCCTCAAAATTTAGTATAATTGTTTTGAAATCATACCGTCGTTGATTAGACCGAATTAAGTCATAAATAGGACGAAATCCGCATCGTGGATTCCACTGCTAGCCACTATTCATCATTACATATATATGTCGTTTTACTGATAAGTTTGATGAAAGGAAGGGCAACTCTTCTTGAAGCATAGAATCCATTCATTCATTTCACTTAACCACCCCTTATCAGTTGTAATCAGTTTATAATTGCTGTAGTTTTTAACTGTACAAGACTCAGTGATTATCCGGAAATTATGGAAATCATTTTAAGCAATCACTCAGTCCAAGCAGCTTACCATTAATGTTATACTTATCTTCCGAATTGTTTGTTGAGCACTAATTTCTACTCGTAATGTATGGCGCTTTGATTAGTTTGCACGAATAGCTAGAGTTGCATAGGCCGTTGGCGTTAAGGTACTGCTTATGGTCTTCGGGTAATTTTCTAAATAGTGCTTTCTCCTCTTCTCAAATCGACATTCAAGAACTTAAACCCGGTGTCATGTTAATACTCCATATAAAAATTTAATATTAAGATTGGGTTTGTTGTGTTTACCAAACGCCTAATGTGTTCAGTTTGCATCATCAGACATGACAAGAGTGTCAGTAGTATTCCTCTGGTAATTAAATACTTATTTGAATACTAAACTCATTTATATGTGTTTGAGCTTAGCCACAAAGAATTTTTAGAAAAGACCTAGTGGTGAACATACCGCTGACAAGTCAGTTTGTGGAGTACATAATGGTGAACAAGTTGAAGCTGAACACTTTATGCAGAGATTTCGGTTAAAAGCAGCAAGTCGGTTTGCTGAGAAACTATATCCATTTTTCCACTCATTGTTATATTGACTTATAGAAAAACTGCATAGTGTATCACCACAAGCTACGATTAATCAAGACATTTAATGGTGCGATTCAAAAATTGTGCTCAGTAAACGATTGAAAGAATATTCAAGAGCTATTGTGTAGATTTCTACAAAAAATAGTTACCTTAAGAGATTTGTGATGAAATACAGAAAAAAATATTGAAAAAGTTAAGTACTCATGTGTTGAGAAGAACAAAGTTTTCATTCACCTTACATTCACGCGAAATATATTTTTTATGATTATTATTTGTACCTTGTGTTCTTAGTGGAACAAACGGATTCAGTAACACGCCCCCATTCCACTCTCATCTCCGCAGTCATTTGAACCTCACTCCACGACTGCCCACAAGCTTTCATTTCTTCTTCACACCATCTCCTCCATGCCACCCTCACCTCAGATGCTCAACTCGTCGTTCACCTCAGGATTCCACTCGACGGCTTGACATGGCCTGTCGCGTGATGTCCTCAATCCGCCTACTCACTGCATGCCCAACCCAATCCATCTCCACTTTCTTCTGCATATTTGTTGAGTGATGGATAGGTTCTTGGTTGGTTCGTCACCAACCAGAGTTCCTTGTTGCTTATTCTCATTATTCTGGCCATCTGAACTTCAGTAACGAGCCAGCTTGGGAAGTTGTTGATGAATGTCTGTAGTTTGTTGGAAATGCTCTTCATGACGCGCCAAGTCTCTCAACCACCACATGGAAGCACTGATTTGACTGACATTAGTGTTGAAAATCCGGATCATGTTCAGACTTTATGCTGAGTGCAGTGTAATGCAATGCAGTGCAGTGCAGTGTAGTAGATCTTCACACTGATTTCAGGTTAATGAAGGCCTGTCTTAGTGTTTTTCCGATCTTGGCTGGTTTTGACATCCTCGTCTGTACCGCCTGTAGTTGAAACGATGCTGCCTAGATACGTGAAAGAGGCTGCTTCCTTTAAGTTTTCACGCAAAATATGGTATGGATTTAAGTGCATTGTAAATGAGTTTTGTTGAAGCCAAATTGATAATACTACAAGCCATCACATGTTTACTAAACGTTTTAGCGTAAATGAATTTACTGCACCTGTCCCTTTACACTATATTTATGAGTTTATGTAGATCTGAGATGAGAATATACTGGAAGTTCTCATCTGTTTGAGTTGGTTAGAATTTCATTAAGATTGAAGCTGAGATAACTAATGCTTAGTTGACTGACAAGTGAATCAATGTTGTGTTTAAAAACAATTAAGAAAACTGTTCCCAAGGTGAACAATTTATGTTTAGCAGAACCTTATTTGAGCCAGTCGACTGAATATCCAGTGGTCCTATATTACGCCATATGCTATGTTAGTTGAACAGATCCATCAAGAGATAAAATTAGAAGTATAACCTTTTGGTAAGCACCAAAGTATCTGATACATGGCAAGTTTGGAAGTAACAGGTCAACTTTGAGGCACATCAGGGAAGTTTATGCTCTAATTTATCCAATAAAGTAAAACGATCCTTTGCAACTCGTCATTATTTCACATTAAAGAAAACGAAGGGTGAATACGGAATAAGAAAGTTATAAGATAATTGTTATCCAAGTTACAGGAGTTTTGTGCGTAGAATTATAGTAACATTGAGATTATGTACTTTGAATTCAGAAGGAAGAGACGTTGGCTCATAACATGGCATTCTCAATGAGGAATAAGCGAGTTCAACTTCTTAGCAAAATCTGTGACAGCAACTTTGCTTAGACTATGGACAGCTCATGAGAATACAATGCATTAATCTCCCACTGCTCACTTTTATATTTTGGTACGATACTCCTAGGAGGTTTCAACACATTTCGGAAGATTTGTAAGTAAGTATCGTTATACTTATTGTATAGTAGTTAGCACCAAGATGCTACCACCTCATGCCAGTACAAAAGATTTTTTGAAGCAATCAAATATATGGAATAGTTTAGCGGATTACTGGTTGATTAAATTAACATTTCGCTGGCTGAAAAGCGACAATGAATTTATAAAGCGTGTGTAACTACAGCTTTATTTTCGTTTTGATCCATATTTATTAGTAGATAGGCATGATGGAAGTCTGCTATTAGTTTATAGGTCACTTATTATTGAATATAAATAATATCTGCAATCTTCAATTATTTACAAAACATTCACTCGGATATTTCCACTACGTACCACCATTCTGAAACTATTCTCTTTTTACAACCCAGTTAAAGGCATCACTTTGTTTGGTTTATCAATATATAAAATATATTAAACTATTCCAGAAACAATTTTATGTTAGTATTTCACTTCGGTGATACAAAAAATATAACCGGACTTCATCACAAAATCTAGCTATTATAACTGATGTTGATATGCAATAATGTATGTTGCGGATCACAAAGACATGTATTATCTTCAGTCAAGCAAAACGTTTCTTTACTTACTGTATATTCTTTCAAGCTTTAAATGTATGTGGATAAAAGAATTAGTGATCTGCTCATTAAAAGTGTAGCTTAGACCATTCAACATTCAGCGAATGCATAAATAGAGAGAAAATTACTTACCTCGGTAAATTTACCTGGATAAATGCTTTTCTTTCCATTTCACTTAGTATTCAGACGGTTTTGTTTTTCTGAGCTCCACTAAGTAAATACCTTGAAATCAATTTAGAGTAACCATCAGTCAGGTTTCTTTTTAACGTTTGGTACTTTAACAATAAGTAATTGCTCAAATGTTGGTTGTTGTCCTAGGATTGAGGTTTTGTCTTGTTTCCAACCAATGCTACTGTAGATTGTGTTTTCATACTATCCTAACATGAGCTTTAAGAGAAGCGTATAAAATAAATCTTAGTAGATGACTATCGGTTACTAAACTTATTTCTTTGAAAATGAAGGTATACGGAATCACAAAACAAAGCCAACAAAAATACAACGATCCACTAGAACCCTTAGACTGGAGTCTGTTTACATGCTGTAATGATATCTTAAAGTTTCATCAATGCGAAAGTGAATATGTGAGTGTGTATGCTAGCCGAGATGATAGTCAGGTGGTTGTTTTTACGTTTACATAATTAACCTACTATCAGAAATTCTAGGGTAACAGTTAGGTCATGTGTGCTATTCCGCATGTTGCAAAGTTACAAACAAGACACATTAGTGTCTATCTGTAGACTTCAAGATCATATAAGGTAGTACACCTGTGTAGTCAAGGTAACCGGATGATAGCTGGCATACCACTGCAAACAGTTAGAAGAAAATTAGTTATTGATATCGTGGTGTTAGAACTGAATAGATTTTTCTTCAGCATTGGCTATTATATATTTTGATTGTTTTAATACACGAGAATATTCTTGATATATGAACTTCACACGTGTATTCTATACTTCACGAAAGTGACAAAAACAAACTTTTATTTTGAATTTTTTTGGTTTTAAAATTAATTCTCATATTTTTTGAGAAATTTGAAAATGTAAAAATTTTACATCAGCATGGTAAGATGTTCCGATAATATATTTAAGCCTTTCCTATACTTTTAGCTTACACAAATGTAAACTAGGCGTTTGGTTTACAGAGCAACTGAAACATGCTCGAGCCTCTGGACGTGTAAGAGGTGTAAGTGGTCCAGAAGCCTTACGTTCTTCCATGCTGCGCATACAACGTAAGTACAATTAATTTACAGTATATTTATATATCAGTGAAGTACCTTAGTTTGCAGGGTTCTTCACCGATTTATTTTTTCACAATAAGTTAAACGTTGTAAGTATAAGTATGAGTAAAATAGGTGCAGTATATAAGTGCAAAGATTTTTTTCCCACTTCATACATTTCAGCGCATATGGTAAATACATTTCCATTTTTCATGTTGCTTAAAGTCATATTCATATATGAAGCACATTTTTATATCAGTATTTGATTAGATGTTAGGGTTATATTGTTTATCCGTCGTGTACTCAGCGGCACAAAAATCAATGCAGACTGAAATTCTCAAACACTGACATCTCAGTTTATCACCACGAATTCATCTTTTACTTACAACTGAAAATTCTTTATTTTACAATAATTTATGGTTCACCCTACACTTATGCTATGAAGCTTCATATCAACGACTTACATCGTTATTGGACAAGAATTGCTTGACTGGTTAGCTTGGACTGATAGTTTTCGGTCATTTTAACTAGACTTGTAATATGTTCGGCTGATTAAGGTTCCCTGACATTCTATCTCATAACAGTCAAAAAGTTAGTCTCACACTCAGTAACAGTGACTGATTAGTAGTTTAATGCTTCCTTATCATTTCTGAATACATATTCATTGTCACAAATATTGTGCTTAGCCGTACGATTTATAATTAAATCTATTGATCCCAGTCATTTAGTACTTTTGATTGTATTCGGAATACTCCTATGGTAACATGAAAAAAAGACAAGAGCTTGAGATGATACATATTTTCGTTAAAATCTCATCAGACTCTAAATGCAAATACAATATTTTGAGCTCAGATACAAACACAGAGTGGTTACATGAATTTTTGGAATGACTTTAAAGGCGACCATAACAACTATTAAACTAACCAATCGAACTTCAGAATTTTGACTAGGGTGGTAGTTTTCATAGAATAGAAGAACGAAATTGTTCATCTCAGCATATTCTAGGGTGGCCTTTAAAGTAGCCTGAATTTTTGACAGTTACCCAAACATTGAGCTACTTATGGGATTATTATGGTAACAGATTTCACAAGATTTCATTTAATTAACGTATAAAAGCTTCAACAGATTTAGGGATTATCAATTATAATTGGATTAAATTAAAAATCATAACAGGCAGTCGGTAACTATGGGATATTGGGCCCAATGAAAATTAGGAACATAAAAATTATGCAAATGTACATCAAAATGAAAAATAACAAAGCAAAAAAGCCGCTTAATCAGAGTGATAAGACCAAATTATCTGAGTCGTTATTCACCTAAATTACGTAAATTCCATCTTTGGAGATAATCACAGAAGAGTAAGGGAATATCTGAATTGTTTTTGCATACAGCCCAAGTTTCATGATTTTTACTGCAATAGCTTCAGAAGTTTGAAGAAAGCGAATTCTCACTGCCTGTAGCATTAGAATAGGTATCTCATGGACTATTGAAAAAGCAAACTTAATGTCAACATTATAATTACTATCAGTTATATGGGATTGGATAGAACTCATAATCTTCTTTATGTCTCTTTTTGTTTTATCGCGCGTTGTGAAAAGGTTCCCTTAGTTTGTCCTAGACAGCTGACTCCACAATAGCAGTTGTATTTATAGATGGACGTTGACATGAACACGTCAGAGATCCTATCTTTCAGATGTGGTGGTAAAATGCATCTAATGCTGGGTGTCAATTTCAGGGTGACTGCAAGAAATATCTTTAATGGACGTGAAGGTCTGCTTACAACAATTTTAACTAGATTATCACCCTTAAACGGAAGGTTGACGAATATTTGCTTCTTGCCACAGGGGAAGACGACTGGCTTTTCTGTTCTGCTTGTCATATTCTTCTTAATGGAATTTTTGGGGTATCCACTCTGTCTGAAAGTGTCCATCAGGTTTTATAGCTATTTGTCTATCGTAGCATCTGAGTTAATTCTTCTTGTTCTCTCAAACAGAAATCGAACCAATTTCTCTCAGCATCATAGTGGAAAAATCTATAAAAGGGTGTATACCCTCCGCTCCAAGAAGGTGTGTGGCAAACACTGCTGATGATCTTTCCCCTATCTGACCTAGTTAGCAGGGCATCTAAGAATAAGATTTTACTCGAATTTTCCAGTGAGAATGTGATACGCGGATGGAATCTATTAAAATTCACCAGTAATTCATTTATCTTCAGACTCATCACAAATAACAAAGATATCGTCCATATATATCCAATAAGTATCCATTGAGTCTGTTTACGGCTTCAAAACAACATTTTCCAACCCCAGCATGAAGAAGTCGGCAAGTATTGGGAATAGTAGTTCCTCTGGGTTCCAACTCTTCATGCATTTCGGGTGAGGATTTGTCTCGCTTTCAGTAATTTAAGGGAATTGCTTATTTCTTGTTCTATCTCAAAGATCATATCTTTAGTATTTCGTAATTTCTGTGACTTAAATTCATTGCTTAGAATCACATTCGTCTTTTTGACTTAATCCATTTTGTCTAATAACACTACCCAACTGTCCTTATCGAGTTATAATGAGGTCCTGATTAAATTTCAGCTGTTTCAGCGCCTCTATATGCTTTCTGGTGAGCAGTAAATTCTGGTATCTGTAACAGCAATCTACTAGAGTTACTTTCAAACTTTTTACCTCGGATTCTATAGTTGGAAGTAGGGCAGCTCGCTGTGACATAAAATTCTCAAACTGAACTTCTATTTCCAACTGGCTCATGTCGCAAAATCTACATCCAAGCGATAAAACTTCTCATTTTAATCTTTTTATTAGAAATGTCACACAGTGAAACAGTATTGTTTACCCATCAAAGTTTTTAAATAAATTCATAAGAATTAGAAAGAAAAATATTAGCAGTAGCAGTAGTAACACAGGTGTCATTAATAGTGGTGGTAACAATGTTGACAGGGGTGAGAGAGAATTCAAAGCCTCCACTGTGTTATCACATAAGGAAGGCACCTCAGTAGTCCAGTAAATGATACTATTTCACTGTATGATATTTTTAATAAACAGTCTAAAATGGAATTACAACCTACAACAGTGCCTAAATTTTTCTCCTATATTAACGATAAAACTTTCGTTTCAAATTCATTCAATGAAAAACTAGAGTAGTTATGAACATACCTTTCCGAATGAGTGGAGCATTTGGATTTTAACAATTGTTATTCAATTCCGGGGTTTAACAACTGATGCAATTTGAGCACAATCACTGAGTAAGCTGAGTCTAATGATCAATTATCAACTGACGTATATTATCGTCCTGGGTAATCTACCAATCAATGTTGAAAACTAATTCAACCTTTCCAAATTGCATTTATAACGCTGTGACTGAAACATAATGCACTACTTATAGACATTTTTACCATAGAAGGATCAGAAGGTCTCCTTAGTATATTTTTCATAGTAAAAGTGGTGTCTTCTGTGCATCACAGCAATCAAACCATAGTGTTAATAGACTACCTCAGAAAAGGCTGAGTTTGAATTTATTATGAATTATATACTGTGTCGTGTACTTGATAAAAATAAAACTGACTGGTTTCTTGAATACATTTTATCCTATGCTTTAAAAAAGCACGAGATTTGTCTTCATAATGTACACATTCGCTTCCAGATTTTATCACACTGCATGAAAGTATTCTTCCCAAGGATGTCTATCTAAGATCTCTGTAACTTCAGTCCACAGAACTTTGCTTTCATTGTCAACTTTCATGTCTCTGAATCACTCTGATGTTCAAAGTTGGTTCAAGTTGAAGGTAAACTAGTCACAGAACTATGAAAGTTCACTCACAGGTTCAAATAAAAAACAGTGGAATGCCTTGTTAAACCGGTTAGGCTATGGAAACAATAGTGGGAACTGTTGTTAATGACAGCGAGTTCGTGAAGACAACTAGTGAGTAATAATGTGAGTATAGAAAAGCAGTCAATAAAGACCTTACCTAAATTGAAGCATTATCAAAGAATTACTAGAAAACCAACCTCACTAACTAGCAGACATATGAAAAACGTACCTGATGATTTCACTCGACAGTCTTTAAAAGATATCTGTGTTCGAATCTGAAATTCAAATGTGATTGAGTTGATCAAGTCATTCAGGTTCGTCTATCAAAAGCAGTTCATAGATTATTTTTTTCTGCATACCTGCTTCTTACTTTCTCCACGCAAACTGGTTTGTCAAATCACCAGAGATAAGGATCTGTCGTTACCAAGTGTGTATACATGCCTTACCAGTAAGACGTTAAGACGTTCTCTTAAACATTTATAAGAATGTCTATAATAAAAGAAATCCAGGTGAATAAACAGATCTATTTCGGACACATCGTTCTGTTAAGCTATGCAGCAACTTTACGACATTTATTTGATAATATATAAAAGGTGAAACCAAGCCATTCAAAGGAGTTTTGATATGTCTTTACTGTACACCAGTAGCCCTAGTTACTCGCAAAAATAATCCTGAACTCTGTGTAAATAAATGTTTAGTTTAATCCCTTTTTTGAACATGGTCCTACTTCCACAACTCTCTGACTTGTGCCTAATAATTTATTCCCTTTCTAACAGTTTTACTTCATCGATTCGAATCTTTCTCACCTCTGTGTGCATAATTTTCCTGTTTCGCAACCTTACCTCTGTAAGAAATAAGCATTTCTGAACTCTGTTCATCATTTTATATCTGCATCTTTTTGGTTGCTAGTTCCTACAGTATACCATTTTTTATCTTTCAATTCACCGTTCAATAGTTTTTCATACAACTGATATTAACCTTTGACCCCTGTTAACACTTTTCATGATATGTCCCAACTACTTTTCACTGTGTGGCCAGGACGAGAATTTTCAGAGTCGTCTTTTTTGCTCAGTGCCGTTTTAGTTCAAATCACAGGAACCTTTCTTACAAAAACGATGCAATGCAAAAAGAATCTCAGTTGATGACATCAAAATCTTTGTTTCGCTGTACTTACATGGGTGATTAATAACTCATGAATACTCTCATCACTGAAGTTGGTATATCGGGGCACCTAAAAGAAAACTAAAACTAGGTCATCCTTTTTTTCTTTCCTTAAGACTTTAAGAGATTCTGCAAGAAGCAGGTTATGCTCTATTTTTCACAAGTATTGTTTACTGTGGTTTTATGTTTACTTTGATGAACAACATCGTTTATCATGTAAAGTCGTATTAAAGAGTAAACGTTCATTCTCTGGATTATCCGTTTAAAAAGGAGAAAGTGACGCAAACAGAAATATTTTTACAAAGGGAAATAAATACCTAGCTGTTATCCCATGCTTCTAGTTATTATTACTTTCCCCTTATTCGTCCCCAGAATGTAGGTCCTAATTCTAAGTTCACTTAAACTGTGTATGGCTGAATTACTCAGCTTTACAAGATCAAGTATATGTGTAAGCGTCTATTTATATGTCTTAATCGATCGGCTTATCGACTGCACGCTGTCGAATCTTTTGCCCTTGCTAAAAGATGGTTCGACGACTTGTAAGACAGAAGGTCCTGTTCAGGAGCTTTGATGAGTATTCATCCCTACACATTGTCACCTTTGGAATTTGTAATCCAATGCTAGATTTTTCCTAATATTTAGAGAAAAGCTTCTTGTAATATTTTTTTCACTCATATTTTTGCCCACAAATCTAGATAAATCTTCATTCTGGAATAGGAGGTTTTAGAGGATTTTCGATTCTTGTTTGATAAAATCATGTGTATATTTTTCTGGATCTTGAACTATGGGAATAGATGATATTCGCCCTTTCTCTCAACAGTTCCTAATGGTGAAAGTTATTCGACTGCCAGTTCCAAGAGGGTCCTCCGTGGCTACATCTTTGAGCAGAATTATTGCTAAGTCTTTAAATCTAGCTAGTAAAAATATTAAACTTTGAGTTTCATTAGGCTTCTAGCAATAAGCTTGAAGAATAATGACGGTTCCTGAATCTATTTAGGGACAGGATTACCAGTCTTCGTAGTAAATTTTCTTGTGCTGAGTCACCCAAAAATTTTAGTCGGTTGGGGAAGAGAGCCATCTCACTATTATTGTTTGTATATTTGTAAAAGCTTTATGCTTCCCAACTCAGTTCAGTTTAGTTACTGATCTGTTTAAATTCACCTGAGGTTAACCACTAAGATTATATCCAGATAGATGATGTACCAGTGTGGTCACCTTTAAGATTTCTTTACACTTATTTGTTTGTGACCAACCCAGAAAAAATACCACTTTCCATCCATTAGTTAACCAACTTATAAAACCTACATTAACGGCATCAGTAATATTATATTCGCCGGCTTTCGTGTATTTTAGATGATTCGACGCTGGACATATTCGATAACACTTTTTCTAGACCTGTTTTCACTGCCTACTGCACATCCACCTCGAATAGACACATCATTTTAGATTATTCTACTTAGTTAACTATGTATTTGTGAATGTTAGTCTAAAAAATTGGGTACGTTGAAAGAATACTTGTCTTTGTTACAAACATTTTTTTTACAATAGGCAAAGTTTTGATACATGAATATCCGAATATCAAATAAATTCTTTTCAGGTCAAACAAAAACAAACAGTTCATATCGAGGCCAAGAAATGGACATACAAGTGATGAGTAAGTTTTAAAAAGTGGTTCTCATTCATTTTACACTTATCCTTTTTATCATTTATTGATACTTATACTTTCCCCTTGACCGTGTTCTTCGACTGAGTTGATCGATCTCTGTTAGTATGTGACCTACTGTTAGGATGCTTTGATACTGTTTGGAGATTAATTGTGAATTAATTTGTTTGGTGGCGGGTAGCAATGGAATTCCCGATATGCATTTCATCCTATTTGGTATTAGTCAGCAGGATGTGCCCGTATCGCACTGACTGGTGATTCTACTACTTAGAATTAAAGCCACCATCCATCACTTTAAACACCTGATTGTCACCCACTAGAATATTGAGTCACGACAGCCACCTTTCGCACTGTGGGCTTCATTTGTTATTTTTTGATATTCTCAACTTTCCACTGCTTAGCTTTCATGACTCAGCAGCCTACTGAATAACGCTTTAGTGCCTGAATTGATGGGTGCTTTCCTTAAGTATGAACAGGAAAACCATCACTCAGACGAATGCAGGTATATTCTGTTGGTAAAATCAAATAGAACGGAACGCATGTCATGGCTTGCCACCACGAATCAAATTATGTATTTTTATCATTCACAAGGGATTTGCTCTTTTCAAGTTCATGAAGGAGAATTTGTGTGTAAAGTTTGATTAAAACTTGTTTTTAATTGTTGTGGCCCAGTGTACAAAATATCTACAGCTGTCACGTTACAGGAAACGATAATTACAGTTGAAAAGGCTTGGTAATTTAGAGTTCAAATCAGATGATTATCTATTCACTTTACAACTGCTAATAACTATTATCTAAGTCCTTGCATTCATTGTCTAATCTGAAATTGTTTGATAGAGATGATTGATCAGTATCTTTGTAATTCCATATTAATTAATTGACCGTATTCTGACACTAAATAACTTATTTATGATGCTTTACCACCCTAAAATTTACAAAATCCTTAACTGTTCAAGTCAATAGTGAGTGAATTTGTAATTTTATTAAACCATTACTTATTAGTTGCATACCTGCATATTACGAAGCATAATTTTATTGAGGGCAAGCTCTACTTTTGTCAATGAAGTTTTTCGCATCTACACTGCAGCACATTGCAATAAGTAGATAAGGTGATCTGTACCAATGATGAACTGTAGGATTAACCTCAGTTGTAGCTTACTTTGACCCTTATTCCTCCCTTGAGATGATTGGTAGCGTGTCGGGAAGCGATAACCATCAAATTGGATATCCAGATACTTGGCCATAATATTTTTATTGTTATGTTGTTGGTGGGAACCAGACAACTTTCTAAATAACCTATATCTGAAGCACCAACCATTTTGTCAAGATTCTGAAACGGAATTACAAACGTTACCTGACTTCCTTTTAGGTTAGCAGCATTTTTTGAACTAATCACTGATGAACCAAACACCAATCATACCAACACATTTACTACAAAATAACTTGTTGGAGATGCTGCAAGAATATAAAAATGGAATATGTTAGTCGCCAGTGGGTAACCGATGGGGCTGTCGAGTCTTTAGTGAGTAGCTCCGACCAAAGTCTACCAATCGAATTCACAAAGTGGACACTCAGCAAAGTGCCATGATATTACGGTGCTGACTGACTCCCACTATCTGGTATCAGGAATATATATTGGTTAGTAAGCTGTTGGAAAATTTCTTCAACCTCAGTTTTTATACCAAAAGCTAATTCTGTTCACAGTCATATACGGATAACACGCAAAAATTTCTCATTTATGTTTGAGCACGTAAAATAAACCAATCATCTTGAATGAGGCTTGCATTGTGGAAGATATGAATAAAGTTATCGCAAAACCACCGACCTCTAGTTTATGTTTGTGATCATACATATCATGTAGGGCTTTTCTAACGATTTTGAAGAGGTAGAACTAACTTGCACATTTCTCTGTAGTTCAACTACCTGCCTGAGATGCAAGTAGAGTAGACGTTAAAACTTCATAAATAGTCAAGTTGCATTAGATTGGATTCCTAAAAATATCCCCATATTTAAGTTGAATAAATCAAACTGTAAACAAAAAGCAATAGATCAAAGTAATGAAGTTATAACTCGTCCCGAAATACTACCAGTAAGGTCACAACTACCAGTGAACGCGAGTCCTCCGAAGAAGTCCTGAATGCCATAAAACTACTGAAATACGATAGAGCAGAAGGACCAGATGGAATTCCTCCTGAAACACTAATAACAGACGCAGAGACAACAGTGGACATGCTCACACCACTACTGCAGAAGGTTTGGAAGAAAGGGAAGGTACCTGCCAAGTGGATAAAGGGCTACCTGCCAAAGAAGAGAGACTTAAATGTTTGCAAGAACTGGTGAGGAATCATGCTCCACTGGAACAGGCTGGCTGGCTAGCTGGCTTCAGGAAGAACAAGTCATGTGAGAACCGAATTGCAACGCTACGCTACGACGCATCATCATAAAACAGAGCATAGAATGGCAGTCAACCACATCTTCACCTCAACTTCATCGACTCTGAAAAGGCCGGCCCTCGACAGCGTAGACCGAGAAGTAATTTGTCAGGCAGTTGCTTCAACACTACGATTTTAGTGCCACAAATCTGTATCGACCCCATTCCACAGCAGCTATATGAAGACGCCACATGCCAAGTAATTCACGATGGAAAGCTCAATGACGCCATTGAAGTGAGGACAGGAGCAAGACAAGGCTGTCTCCTATAACCGATGATTTTCTTGATTGTGGTCGACTGAACTTGACTGGCTCATGCAACAAAGTGTGAGCAGTGAGAAGATGGGCATGAGCTGGCTGGACCGATGAGAAGATCCGAGAAGAAGATTTAGATTCCCCCCTTGATGATTTATGTCTAATGTCTTGTCGCACAAACTCGAAGATCTACAAGCGGAAACTAACAACTTGGCAGAAGAGACAGGGCATCGAAAACGGGACCTCAAGTGAATGTGGAGAAGACAGAGGTGATGAAGACACCCAACCAACAACAACAACAACAAGAGGCACCAGTCACCATGAAAGGAAGAAACCCTAAGGAAAGTAGTCTCCTTCATCTACCTAAACAGGATTGTTTCAACTGCAGGCGGTACAGACGAGGATGTCAAAACCAGCCAGGATCGGAAAAACACTAAGACAGGCCTTCATTAACCTGAAATCAGTGTGGAGATCTACTACACTGCACTGCACTGCACTCAGCATAAAGTCTGAACATGATCTGGATTTTCAACACCAATGTCAGTTAAGTCAGTGCTTCCATGTGGTGGTTGAGAGACTTGGCGCGTCATGAAAAGCATTTCCAACAAACTACAGACATTCATCAACAACTGCCCAAGCTGGCTCGTTACTGAAGTTCAGATGGCCAGAATAATGAGAATAAGCAACAAGGAACTCTGGTTGGTGACGAACCAACCAAGAACCTATCTATCACTCAACAAATATACAGAAGAAAGTGGAGATGGATTGGGTTGGGCATGCAGTGAGTAGGCGGATTGGGGGCATCACGCGACAGGTCAGGTCAGGCTGTCGAGTGGAATCCTGAGGTGAACGACGAGTTGGGCGTTTGAGGTGAGGGTGGCATGGAGGAGATGGTGTGAGGAAGAAGTGAAAACTTGTGGGCAGTCGTGGAGAGAGATTCAAATGACTGCAGAGATGAGAGTGGAATTGAGGCATGTTACTGAATCCGTATGTTCCACTAGGAACCCAAAGGAAAAGTAGTAAATAATAATAATATTGTTATAAAAGCAGTAATACTTATCATTCATGATTTTTTCTGGGTGTTTCACGATAGAACTGTCATTTTCCTGATCTTGTTTTTTACGAACATTAGAATCTTCTTAAGAGTACCATCAGAGGCAAAATCTATGTCTAGGGTCTCCTCGAGATCACCCAACCAGCCAACAACCTTCAAAATTAATCAAAATGATTTTTTAAAGAGTATTTTCTGTTTAAATAGCTTTCGTCAGTGGGAATTGTCTTTTGAAAAGGATCCATTTTTTCCCTTGTTCTTCTGCTACCAATGATGGTGATGACTGATTAGTTTTCTACCAGTTAAAATAATAGATTTTTCTGTCTTCCTAACATCTTATTGTCAGCATTACAAGTACCAAATCATTTCATATAATGGCTTTATATCACAAGTAAGCAATGAAGTAAGCAAATAAATAGATTACAAACTGTAATACCAAACACACAAATTTACTGGAAGTATAACCAGTGAATCAGTTTATCTCGTTACCACTGATTGATTACCAACCTACATTTAACTTTTTTAACTGAATTCAGTCAAAATCGACCAATATATGTTGTCAACTAACTGCATATTAGAATAAAGAAACATGTAAGATACCTGCTATTTGATCATAAAAGACGGTAATTATGAGCAGTGATAACGATATTTTTGCAGCGAATGCTGTTCAGCTACCAAAGATATATAAATATACGGATTATCAGTTTGACTGAGATAGTTGGGGTTCGGCAAGCTTGTATTAATACCGGGTGATGATTTGGGGTGAAATAAAAGTCTGGGCTACGGCAAGTTTCAATCGAATGACCTTCGAGATGTTTGTCCGCTGCTATACTAACCAGTTACGAGACCCAACTGTGGACTAAGATTTTGCCCAATTACTATATGAAATATACAAATGTCTGTCTCTGACTGGTTCACAACCTTAGCATCTATTTGAAGTTATATAGAGATTTTTATTTCTGATCCTAATGAATCAAATTTACCCTCAGCATTCATAGGGAACGTGTACAGAGTCTTGTTTATGATAGATCACCTTACTCCTTAACCACAACTCTGAGAAACTCCTGCTCTAATGTATTCACAAACATTACGAAAATATTAGGATTCGAATGAAAACGATGAATCTTGGTAAATAGGAAAATCAAATTTCAGATTCTGACATTAATGTGACTATACCATAGTTCTTCTTTTACATGCACCATATAGTGCCTAAATTTCACTCGCGTATTATGGCTGTAATATGATATGAAGACCA